TAAAACTTACCTTACCAAGTTATTCACGTCTTTTTGTTTATTTTCCAAACTTCCCAGTGAATCAGAGATGCAGAAACGGCAAGTACAATTTATCGGCGTGAGATTATTTGATTCCAGAGCCTTTTCCGTCACAGCAATCAAGAATATTTTGTTTTTGTTGTCTTTTTCGTTGATTATTGGCAACTATACAACTTACATGTACACCGACTGTATATCTCTAAGTCTCCATCGTCGATAGCTCTGCTTTTCACATTAAAATATTTGTGTTGTGTCTTGTTTTTTCTTTCCTAGATTGTCAAAATCTGTTTGGAATCATCTATCGCTGCCCTCAGGAAATGAAAGAGACGCTTCTGATGTTCAGACTGGTAGGGGAAGATATGAACAAATCAGAGTGGCTTCAAAACCTCACTACGGAACTAGCTAATACCACTTGCACTGCAGACAAGGTAAGACCTGGACACTAAACCTTACCTACCACTCCCATCCTGCGCTAAATTGTCTTGGATCACGTATCATGAAACTTAACTGCCATATTATTGCTTTACAGGAGAATTTTCTGACCACAGTTGACCCACAGGAACTGATGTTGTCAAAAAGCGATATGTCAAACGGAACTCTCAGTAGAGCTGTCAGGTAAACAGTTAGGCCTCGAACATTGCTCGTTAGCTATTTTCCATCTCTATCCGTGGTTTGTCGGGCGAGACAAAGTACAGTAAAGAAAAAAAAATGTATGAACCCTGTATTACGAATGTGAAACTCGGCTTTTTGGTGAAATTTCGAACAATATGATCTCGACGTGCGTCTCTGTACTATCAAGTGTTTTTTTTTTTTCCTTCAGTCGTGGATATAATCAATTGTAAGTTTATTCTAAGTCGTAATACACTGTTTGTTTTCGTCGCCATCAACACAGGGTGGCGAAAAGGACAACAAGAAAGGTCAGCCGAGCGTTTTCAATGAACAAAACACCGAAACGAGCAGGCGGAACCATAAGACGTTCGGTATCCACGTAAGTTTCCAACAGTTAAGGATGTGTTTTAAAAAAAAAAAAAAACCTTAGTGAGAGTTGCGGTCACGGGTGGCCTCATGGTTACTGCGCTCGGCTCCGGATCGAGCGGTCCGGGTTCAAGCCCTGGTTGGACACATTGTGTTGTATTCTGGGGTGGGACACTTTCCTCTCACAGTGCCTCTCTCCACCCAGGTGTATGAATGGGTACCGGCGAATTTAATGCTGGGGGTAACCCTGCGATGGACCAGCATCCCGTACAGGGTGGGGTAGAAATACTCCTAGTCACTTCATGCTACAGAAACCTGAGATAAGCGCCGGCCTGATGGGCAACTTGACTCGTATGCAGACTCAACTATTAAAAAAAAAAATACTTGTTTTTTTTTTATCGATATTAATCAGCTCTTTTTGTTACTTTTTCAGTTCATCACCAACAAGGCGATTTTCTTGCACAAGCCCTCTCGGTGTATCAACGCGAAACAATCAAGCCTGCTTCCAGGGGGGTAGGGTGAGGGCAACAAGTGTAGGAGCCGAACCCATGAGCCCGTCATAAACACGTCAGCGTCTGTGGTACCATAAAGGATTTGGCCTTCAGCTAAATATTCATGCTCTAACAATTTCAGTGACAGAAAAAATTTCTTCCACCTAAGGGAAAATTGAGAAATAAATTAATGCAAGCGATTTACTATTCCAGGGTCGAAGAAGGGATGAAATGAATGAGTTGCCAGTAATCGGATACCCATGTTTGCGCGAAGAACTCTGGGATCGTCAGGGGGCAAACATTGCTAGTCCCTAGAAGGAAATGTATGGCGAAAAGTTGTTTCGAGGTACAAGAAAACGATTTTTGAGAGAGATCAACGCTTTTTCGCCGTCGTTTTTAACGCGAATGGATTTAGGCAATGTTAATATGTGGAATACGTAAGTTTTTGTTTGAATAACCGTGAAATATGTGACAAAATCTACCGATAAATTCCGTTGCTTGCGTGAG